GATTACTGTATACTAGAGAAAGTAACCATAGCATAGAGTAGAGCACAGAACATGGAGTAGAGTAATATATACAGAAACCATAGTTATATAAATATGTAGCAAGCTCTAGCAAGCTAAGTAACACAGATTTATATAAACTATAACTATAAACTAGTCTACGAAAAGCAGTGTTCAGTGTTGCCAACATTGAAATCTAGCTCCTGTTGTAGAGAACACTAGACGTGGGCGTTATTTCACGTCGCTAGATACAGTAACGCGGCAATACAAGTAGTGATTTTTGTAAATGCGTTACTTATTACTGTTAACTGTGATTGTTGCGAGAGTCGTGGAGTCGACTGCCGGTCGGTCGAGCGCAAAGCGCACATGTGGCATACAACAATAAACAAAACAGGGTACGTAACAGTATTATTGTACGTTTAATTTTCATACGTGACTATAAATATAGACAATAAAATAGAGTGATCTCTGTTTGTAAATAATTTCAACAGTTTCCGATTCCGGGAAGCGAGAGTCCCATTGAATTTAACTAAAATAATTTTTAAAACATTTTTGACGGGTCATGAACTCGTTTATTCATAAAATTAAAAAAAAACTACAAAATGTGTATAAAAAATTTAAATGTTTATAATATTATAAACTTAAAAACTGTGTGTAAATAGCCAAACAAACAAACAAATTAATTGTACAGTGTAAATAAACTGTAAATATCAATAATCATTGTATATACAATCAAATTGACTTGTACATATGCCTGCATTAATAATTTTATGAAAATCTTAGTGTCATAGTAAACGCAAATCAATCATAAATACATTTAATGCACTCAGTCCTAAACCTGAATAAAGTATGAAGGGAAGTTAATTTATTGATTTAACAGTATACAGTTACTGTATAGCTACAAACACAGATTATGATTAAATTTATTTTCGTTTCGTGTGTAACTATATAGTTGGTGGTAATATTTATGCAAACAATCACAATCATCATCATCATCATTACAGCCCTTCACAAGTCCACTGCTGAACATAGGCCTCCCCCAAGTAATGCCATAAAGCACGGTCCTGAGCCACCTGCATCCATCGACTTCCTGCATATCATACCAGGTCGTCACTCCATCTAGTGGTGGGTCGCCCTACACTACACCTACCGGTACGAGGCTGCCACTCAAAAACCTTTCTTCCCCATCGATTATCGGTTCTTCGAGCTATATGGCCGGCCCATTGCCACTTCAGCTTACTAATCCGTTGGGCTATGTCGGTCACTCTGGTTTTACTGCGTATATCCTCATTTCTGAGTCTATCACGCAGAGAAACTCCGAGCATAGCCCTCTCCATAGCTCGCTGAGCGACCTCGAGCGTCCTCATACGGCCAACAGTGAAGGACCACGTCTCAGATCCGTAAGTCATCACTGGCAACACGCACTGGTTGTACAATCTAGTTTTTAGAGATTGAGGTATACCTGACGAGAATATATGTATGTCGTAATTTCCCGAACGCTGCCCAGCCGAGTTGAATCCGTCGATTGACCTCTCGGTCGAAGTTGGACTTACCTAGTCGGAATATTTGTCCCAGGTAAACGTACTCGTCAACAACTTCGAGCATAGTGCTCCCAACAACTACCGGCATAGGTGTGACAAGGACATTGAACATGATCTTTGTTTTGTCCATGTTCATCTTAAGACCTATCTGTTGGGAGGCACTATTGAGTTCATTGAGCATAGTGCTTAAGTCCTCCAGCGATTCTGCCATAAGGACTATATGGTCGGCAAATCGAAGGTGAATGATGTACTCGCCATTGATGTCAATACCGTATCCTTTCCAGTCCAGTAGCTTGAAAACGTCTTACAATGCAGCGGTGAAGAGTTTCGGGGATATAACGTCACCCTGTCTTACACCTCTCTGCAGTTGGATAGGTTTCGAGCTCTGGTTCTGTACTCGGATAGCCATCGTAGCCTTAGCCACTCAAGCGTCCAGCCCGCGCGATTGTTATACCCTTGTACGTCCGGATAAGCGCTGCCCTGATTCGGGTGCTACCGCGCTCGCATCTTGTAACAAAAACCCTACATAGCTTCTTAACTATAATAGCTAGAGTAAAGAAAAAAACTACGAAAAATTGATAGAAGAATACAGATTAAACCTATGTATATTTTAAGATCTAAAAACTTAATTTAAGATATTAAAAACGAGTGTTAACATTGAATTCGGAGAAAAATAAACGTATAAATTTTATTAATTTACACCACAACGAAGAAATATTGTATTTTTTTACCAATAAAATAATGCAACAACAAACTAGACGTATTTTCCTTTCTTATAATGCATAGATGTTTATGTTTAATTAACGCTAAGTAATTAAATAAATTGTAACAAAACACCTACTCCTCGTAATTTTACTGCGATGTCTTGAGCGCTTTCGACTCGCTTGCGAAGGCAAAATATAAGCAAGATGGCCGCCTATCTAAGGTCTCATTCACACTTTGTAATTTACGCAACTTAAAAAAAGGTAGTTATGAGTTTTTTTAGTTGGGGTTTTAAATTAAACACAAATAATAAAATCAATGTACAGTATATTGACATAATAAATATATTTTTTTTCACAAACCTTTACTTACTATAATTATCATTGACTATTTCAAGTAAATTTATTGCTAATTAAATATTTTATTTAAAACTAGGAATTGATTACAAACTAAATATTTACAAAAAAAAGGACTAAATTAAAACTAAAATAAATAAATAAAACAAAATAAATTATGTATGGTACTGCATAAAGCAACCATCAATGCATAGATTTATGTTGCATTCTAGGCACTTCCAAATAGTTCTGGCTGTGACTTTTCGCTGGGCGCACAACCAACAGCGACTTTGCTTAAAGCCAGTTTTAACTGGGAAATGTCGATGCTCGACTTTAGGTCTGCTGGTCGTGGTTGTCGTTGGCCTTTTCATCAGTCCGGTTCTCGAATTCATAAGTCGTGGTTCTGTCGTGAGGTCAATATGTCGGTGTAACTTTAGTAAGTCTTCCGCCAAAGTTGTCCTGAACTGTCTGTGTGATATATTTGGATTAGCCGTTTTAAATAAAACAAAACAATTAAAAATGGCACAGTTAAAAAGACGACGAAATACCTTTTTATACCAAATTTTATTTCGTACACGTTCCATGGGCTGAGCAGACAAGAACTGGTCTTTCCTGTCCACTCCTCCCATGGACTTATTGTAGTCCAGGACAACGCTTGGCTTGTATGTCAGTCGGTCATATTTTTGTCGCGTACCGATTTGGAGGGAATGGTATGTCGAGAGCATGCTAACTAGGTTAGCATCTCGCCATACGATTACCGACAAATCGGAACAGTAGCTTGCCAATACTTCACCTTGTCTTAGTTCTGTTTTTGTTATTGTCTTCAATGAATCGGGAACGAATTCCCGATTCAGTCGTAAGGTCCCAAAGCAGTCTGTCTGTTGTCGTTTCAGACACCGCGCTAATAATGGACAATTGTAAAAATTGTCCATTATTAACGTGTGTCCGCGGTGAAGTAGAGGTTCTACTAAGTCGTAAACTATTTTGGCAGTAGCATTGCTGGGACGTACATCGCTACTGCCAGTTATGACATGTCCAGTCGTGTCTGTATCATCAGGTCTTTCGTCAGTGTCAATAGGGTTAGTCTCGTTAGATGTAGCTGTTGCAGTCGCAGTCCCAGTCTTTTCTTTTCCCGCATAAATAAAAAACTTCCAAAGATAACCAGAGGAAGACTCACAAAGCTCATAAGTCTTCACTCCGACTTGCGCAGCCTTTGACGAAATCTTCTGAGCGAAGCCTAGTCGCCCATGCCACTTCAGAAGGGATTCGTCAATGACAACCTCCTGGGAAGGATAATATAAATGCGAGAACTTTTCGTTGAAATAGTCAGTCACCATTTGAATTTTGCACAGTTTCTTTGGTTCTGTAATTGTCTCATTGTCGACGAAATGGATCAGTGACTTCAATAATAAAAATCTATTGTACGACATTATTTTTCGGAAGTAAGGCATAGTGCCAAAACCATTGAAACTAAAATAGGACTCCTCTTCCTGCAGGGGGGTATAGCCCTTGAAGAATTGATATGGCTAGAAAACTGACCATTTCATCCCTGTCCGTCGGTGTCCATCGGTGTAGTCTTAAAGTCGGTAAGAATTTGTTCTGGTCTTTCAATAATTTTATTTTTTGGTCGGCATATCTGTTAGTCTCTGTGCAAATTCTGTCTATAAAGTCGCTGTCGATCATTTTATAAAAAATTTCGACGATACTAGTCTCCTCTGTAATCGAAAATGTCGGTCCTGGAGTCCCGGTAAAATTTTCTCGTTGTCCTGTAAAAGTCTGTCGATCTCTTTTCCACTCAAAATTGTAACAGTCATGTGGTGCGATCTCCCCTGATTGCTAGGTCGTTTCGTCGGTCTTCTGTCTCTAGTATACGAACCTCGTACAACGTCATGTCAGTTTCAGCTGCAGGCTCCGCCGTAGCGTTGCGTGAGGTCATGACAGGGAGAAAGCAGTCCTCGTTTTCTGTGTCCATGTCACAGTCACTTAGGTCATCGGTCAGTTTTATCCAGTCGCCAACGACAACGTCGAAATTCTTGTCAATAACCCCTGAAAAAAAAAACTTACTGTTAACAATTCGTGGTTTTCTATATTTGACTTCTAGATTGAATAATGCGTACCAATCGAAGTACGCTGTTTGCTAGTGGAAGGCGTCACAGTTACTTCGTCATCAGCCTCGGCTACCATATTGTTTCCTGAAATAGAATTATGCTTAAATAAATTGTTTACTTCAACTTCAAATTGACCTTAACTTTCACTAGAATTTATCTCTATGAATGTGACCAGAATTGGCCTTTGACGAAGAAGCAGAAAGACTTCAAAAAAGGGAAAACATTAAAAATAAAAAGATTCAATAATAATTTTTTAGGTGTATGTGTGTAGTGTATGAATGTGCGAGAGTGTATGTGTGTTCAATCTATCAAGGGATTTATTGAGGAAGAATTTGCAGAAGGTATGCCCCTTTTTTTAGGAGTTTTTGCCATTAAGGCTCTATTGATCTCCGTATCTAAGCGATCCGGATCCAGACTGTCTAAGTAGTCGGGAGAATAAGGGACGGTATCGAGGTCTGACGTACCGATACGCAGCAAATCTCTAGGTTTCAGGTCTTCTGTAACAAACAATATGAGGCTTAGGATTCTTATAAAATGAATAATACATAGGCCTAGCAATATATTTACTTACGTATCTCCACGTCCCTGGGCGGAGATAGTTCAATTTCATCTGTAACAAACAGCATCAAGTTAATCAAGTCATAAAGAATAAGATTGTGAAAAGGTTCAGGTGTAGTAAAATATTTTCTTACCTATCTCGACATCCCCGGGCGGCGATTGTTGAATGTTATCTGTAACAAAAAGCATCAGGTTAATTAAGTCATAAAATAAAGTTTGGGAACAGGCTTAGGTATAGTAAAACATTTACTTACGTATCTCGACGTTAGCCATGATTTCGGCGTGTTTGGGTGGCACCAATTGTATATCCTCTAAAACAAATAATATTAATTCAAATATAAAACAATAACAATATAGTAAAATTATTAACAACAAATGACTCTTTACCTAAAATAATAATTTTTTTACGCTGGCTATCACATTCTGGTTCCATGAACTCGCATGGTTCGCGCTCCGGCGACGCCAATCTGCCAGAAAAAGAAAACTTAGTAAACACGTGTTGCTAAATTATGATAAAGTATGTAGTAAATACATTTACCGGGCGCGCCTTTTGCGCGGAGGCGCGTCAGGCATTATAACTCTAGCAACCTCAGAGTCACGCTTGCGAGTTAAAAGCTCCCTTTTTACTTCTGCTGGCAGCGCTGCAACACGCTTCTGGGTGAGCTGCCGCTGAGCGCGAATTAAGTCTAGTTCACTGCTACAAAGAAATAATATCCTGTAGTATCAAAAATAATAGTCCAACAATAAATCTGTGTAAAATATACTTACATCCTTGCTTGGGAGGGCTGATTGTCGTGTCCTCCGCGTCCTCTTCGGCCTCCCCGGTGTCTCCGACTGTTAGGGCGTTCTCCACCATAATGGTTGCCACGGTCGCCACGACTACCATGGCCTCTATGGCTCCCGTCGTTAGACGGCAGATCATTTTCACTAGGTGATCTATAATATAATATAATTATTTAAAACTTGACTACATATCTAATATAAGATGAGAAAAACAAAATGTACGAAAGTAGTTTTTAGTAACAAAATTACTAAAAATAGAAAATACCTCCTAACTTGAGATGGTCCCCTCCCACCTCTAGTACGAACCCCTCGGCCTCTACGACTTCCACGAGCTAAGTTAGTTTCGGTCGGTGATCTAAAATTGTTGTATGTATTAATTTAAACCATTAATATCATCAGGGAAAAAAACAATAATAATGTGGTAAAGAAGCATTAAAAATTACCCGCGTCAACTTAGAAGAGAGTTATTTTAAATGAGTAGGTATCCAATCCCTAATAACATGTATTATAAATGCGAAAGTCTGTATGTTTGTTAGTATATATGTCCCGTTTTCACGTCAAAACGGCTGAACTGATTTTGATGACTTTTGGTACAGTGATAGATGGGACCCTATAACGGTTATAGGCTATATAGCACAATATTAAGTAAATGATGGAAAGTACGGTGCAATCTCTGGGGTCGCTTTTTAATAGAAGCTATTTTTTATGGCAGTAAGGACCCTTTTTTATTATATGATTACATAACAAAAGCCATTTTTATTTAGGATTTTTTTCTCGAAAGTTATGAGGTTCTTCAATGTAATTTCTTTTGAAAAGCGTTCTACATGAAGAGATCTACATAATAAATAATACGACAGCTTCTAAACTGGCGCCAGACATTGAGCAGTGGTGCAAAGCGAAAACCGTATACCGAAAAATGAATGATTTTGATTAAATATGAGAATTAAATTATTGTCAATACATCACAAGGAAAGTAAAGTGATTTGAAATCGTAGAACACATCCTCCATGTAAGTAAAGTGAAGTTAAATAGAAAAGAGAGCAAAAGTCGACAATCACGAACAAACATAACATTAATATAACACAAGAACAAAAACTATGAGATAAGAGCATGATGAAACACAATTACACAACCAACTAAGCGAAAAAAAAAACTCAAGACCCAAACCAACCAAGACCTCGACCACAAAAAATAAGAAAGCGAAACATATTGCAAGCATACTTTGCTATTTGTACCGACCCTTATTTAGAGCCATTGTAGTTACGTCCGTGGATATCAAACTATCCACAACAAAAGACCTGAGGAACACAATAACATTTCTAAGGAATCTTCAGTGAATATAGTTTAATTCTGTTTGCAAAGTGCATTATTATGTTTATTACAACTATTACTCGTTGCTTAAATATAATTTTACTGAAAAACTAAGTTAACAAAACTAAAATTGGGCCGACAACTTGAGCGGCCATTTTTTCGAAACAGCTATACTTTGAATTTAAAATATGACTCGATTTTACACTTAGAACTGTGATATATATACGTAATTATAAAGCACAAATCATCTAGTTTATTTTGACGTATAATAATCTACGAAATATTAAATTAAACTAAAGTACTTACGACATAATCGCTGGCACTCCAAAAACACTTGTTCACAAAACACAGAACACCGATACTGAAGTAAGATATTTATATATCTTGTCTATGTCTTAGTTGCTATAACAAATATATAACAGAGCCCTATGAGTCGTCGAATGGTGACAAAAACCTGTCATTTACGCACAAGTATCTTTTCTCTTTAGTTTTTTCGTTATTAAGCCGAATACTTTTTATTTTTTGTTTCAATTGAGAAGTGACTATTTTTTGTTGTATTTTGATAAGTCAATAAAAACTGATTATTTTATTTGTATACCTATGTAATAAAAAAATTCATTATATTTTGGATCACAACTGTGCCCCGCACGTGGAATCATGTGACTATATAGGGCGCGTGTAAAGTTGTGCTAACAGAAAATATTATGCGAGTAAAGATTACTGGAGATCCGGAAGCACAAGAGTTTGTTGAAAATCTGTTAAAAATTGGCAATGACACCTATCCTATATTATATATCCTATATTGATTCACAGTTAGGCAAACTTCTATCAAAAATTGTATAACGTAGTAGATACAGAAGAAGAACTTATTGAAAAAGTTTATCAGTCTATTGAACAGAATTATCTAAATAGGACATGGTTGTGTGAGCGAGCAATTTTCACTACAAAAAAATGATGTAGTGCATCAAATTAATGGAAGTATACGGAATATGACACCAGATGAACAACTGTATAAATCAATAGACACAATGATGAATCAGGACGAAAATGTGAACTTACCAACAGAGTTTTTAATTTCACCGAATCCGCCTGGTATGTCTTTGAATGTATTGAAGCTAAAAATTGGATCACCAGTCATATTATTATGAAAATTTAATTCGCCAAAATTATGTAACGGTACAAGATTATGTATAAAACAACTTCTCAACAACATTATTGAGGCAGTAATTCTAACTGGCAAAGAAAAAGGAAAATCTGTTTTTATACCACGAATTAAATTAATTTCAAATGATTTACCATTCTTTTTCAAACTGTTACAGTTCCCTCTACGATTGGCTTACAGTATAACTATCAATAAGGTACAAGGTCAAACGTTCCAATATGGTGGAGTGAATTTGGGAGAATGCCGTTTTACACATGATCAACTCTATGTAGCTTCTTCGCGCGTTGGACAGAACAAAAATTATTCATGTCTGCACCAGAACAAAAGACAGTACATGGCTGCACTAAAAGTATCGGGAATGGAATATTTCCACTATTCCTGTCATATGAAAATCTTTTTAATTGAAAACTCCTTGGTTTTAAAAGTCGAATACCATTTATTTAAAAGATTCTCGGTCTTGTCACAAGGTTTTGTCAAACTTGTTTAGTCGTTGAGAAAATGGAATTAACTCGAGAAAATTCAATAGCGATGATTTATTATGACTTTCGAAGTGGTTTAACACAAAAACAGTGTGTTGATCGGATGATTTCTGCATTTGGTGATGAATCCCCATCCAAAACCACAATTTATCGCTGGTTTGCTGAATTTCAACGTGGACGTGTCAAGCTCAGTGATGATCCCCGTCAAGGTCGTCCAAAAACTGCAGTCACCCAAGAAAACGTTAATGCTGTGCGTAAGCTGATTGAGAAAGATCGACATGTGACATACCGCGAAATTCAGGCGACTTTAGACATTGGCATGAGTCAAATACAAATAATCTTGCATGAACAATTAGGTGTAAAAAAGTTGTTTTCCCGATGGATACCGCATTCGCTCTGTGAAGAGCAAAAAGCAGCTCGCGTTGCTTGGTGCGTCAGAACTCTCGAAAGATTCCACGCAGGATCCTCAAATGCTGCATACAACATCCTATCAGGTGATGAATCCCGGATATACGCGTACGAACCCGAAACAAAAAACCAGTCACGAGTTTGGGTGTTCGAAAATGAGTTAAAGCCAACAAAAATTGTTCGTTCACGGAGTGTTGCAAAAAAATGGTGGCCACGTTTGTCTCCAAAACCGGCCATGTTACGACTATTCCTCTTGAGGGGCAAAGAGCGGTTAATGCAGAATGGTATGCTGGCATTTGTTTGCCACAGATCGTTTCTGAACTCCGTAAAGAGAACTGCAACCGCCGCATCATCCTCCATCACAACAATGCGAGTTCTCACACCGCACAAAGAACAAAAGAGTTTTTAGAGCATAATAGTATGTATAGTGCATAAGAATGTATTGTAATATAGGCATCCAGTACATGACTGTCTGTAAAGTATTTTTGTATAATGAATAAAAACATAATATGTAAGAAAAAAAAACTTAAAAATTTAACAAGAAAAGTCACGTGTTCATAATTAAAAAAAACTAATTTAATAAAACATACATACATGAATAATTATTCAACAAAAATTAACCCAGCGAAGCGGGTTTTCACAACTATTGTACATATTTTACCAGATACCTCATGAAGAAGATTTTGCTCCAGTGTGTATATTCAAATGCCTTAGCAAATGACTTTTTCTAATACATCTATATTTACAGATATTACACGAAAAAGATTTTTCACCGGCGTGTATTTTCATATGTGTTTGCAAATTAAATTTTGTAATAGATTTATATTCACAGATATTACACGAAAAAGGTTTTTCTCCAGTGTGTATTCTGATATGTTTTTGCAAATGACTCTTTGTAATACATCTATATTCACAGATATTACACGAAAAAGGTTTTTCACCGGTGTGTATTTTCATATGTATTTGCAAATGACTTTTTCTAATACATCTATATTCACAGATATTACACGAAAAAGGTTTTTCTCCAGTGTGTAATCTGATATGTGTTTTCAAATCACTCTTTGTAATACATCTATATTCACAGATATTACACGAAAAAGGTTTTTCACCGGTGTGTATTTTCATATGTGTTTGCAAATGACTTTTTCTAATAAATCTATATTCACAGATATTACACGAAAAAGGTTTTTCTCCAGTGTGTATTCTGATATGTGTTTGCAAATGACTCTTTGTAATACATCTATATTCACAGATATTACACGAAAAAGGTTTTTCTCCGGTATGTATTTTCATATGCCTTTGGAAATTTCCTTTATCTGTACATTTATAATCACAATTTTAATTACACTTGCTTAGCGACGTGCGCTTTAAGATGTGCTAAAATGTAACGTTTTTGAGATGTTTTAAATTCGCAAATATCACAGTTATATATATCCATTAGTTGTGGTACTGGAGTTTGTTCAACTTGTGTCTGGACTGCATCTGAGTCCTTTGGCGTCTTATGACTGTATGATATGTGGTCGGCGAGAATATCTTTTGTTAAAAACTTTTTTCTACAATCATCACATTCAAAAATGTATTTAGTTGATGCGTCAGGTGTGTTTTCCGTCAGTATATTTACACTCTGTTTAAAAATTTTCTTTTTCATGATTTTTGCAGGATGCTTCCCTTTTTTAATAACTGTTTGAGTATCTCTTTTCATTTTAGGCTTAGTTTTAATAACAGGGCTTTCTAAATGAAGGTTTCTTTTACGAACATCATTTGTGTTACAATCAGTAGAATTTGATTTAATCTCACACGGTTTCGAAAACATATTTGTTTGTATGCAGGGTTGTTCTGAAACACAAATGAATCAAACATTTTATTTATTGTAATAAATTGTATCTTTATTGTAAGATAACTTAGACGGTTTACATTAGGCGGAGTTTATGTCTTATAGCATTCTCTCTATCAGTCAGCCCTGGGAGATATAGAGAAATTATAATATTTTACATAATTATACTAAATAACGTTGCTAGATATAATGTATTTTAGCCAATTTCTCTAAATAACACATTCATTTTCGGTGGGAAAGAATGGAATAAAATCTAAATTTGAATAATAATGTTGACGTTGTTCTGACCGTGTTATAATTATATTAATCTAATGATCGCTTGTTAAAATTCCACACAGAAAGAGTGTTACACATATACTTATACATTTTGACCAGTATTTTTTATTTATCTATCTAATTGCTGTTTCGAATTCCACACAGAACTAGTGTTACACACACGGTACAGTCGAAGTTGGCATGTAAGTGCGGCATAAGAGAATTCATCATCACATTTTATCCCGTGGGTTTCGTAAGAGGCGACTTTGGGTTTGGTTTTCCGACAGATGGCGGTATAAACACCGAGTTTACTTCAGATGTAAAATATCCAGACCGGCGACAGGCAACATTGCCAGAGGTGCTCACGTCTGGTTCTGCGATCGTCAATCCTATGCCAAGCGTGACGACTGAGGCAAATCCTCCCTACATCGGGAGAGATCCTTCCATGTGCAGCAGTGGAAGTTCACGGGACGATGAAGATAAAGGAGTTGTTTGTAGGCCATACAAAGACTCAAAACAAGCCCTGGTACATCAAAATTTCACAGTATGCTAGCAACCCAGGTTCGTTCTCCACCAGTATCCATAAATTGTTAATTTTCTATGTGTATATATACAGGTTGCCCCAGAAATCGACGTTAAGTCGGAGTCGGGTTGTCATAATAGTTAACAGAAATATTTTAAAAAATCTTTGCTATATATTTTAAAAATTACAGGCATTTATAATCGAGAAAATTTACATCCTCTCACAGTCTTAATTCCTGTTGCTACAAATATTAATTCTTTTTTTAATGTTATTTTATTGTGTGATTTTGTTTTTTGCCTAACCCAGGATCTCATGATTAGCAGATGTACTTACAACAGCTTTCTCAGACGTTAGTAGCCCTATCAACAAATCAGTGAATCTTCTTTCCTGTTTTGTCTTAATTACACCTTGGGTCACCACCGGTGAATTCAGTTCTTACTTAAAACAACATAATTGTATGACCTATAAATAATCATTTTGGTCCATTTGGCTCACAAACAATCATTTGGTTTGTTCATGTGTAATAAAAGAACAAAATTTTTTATGTACAGTATATCTCCAACTACATGATGCAACAAATTCTTTTACCTATGTCAACGTCATCTAGTTTACTCTTTGCACCTAATGAAATTAGTGGCAAGTCGTTCTCCGAATCCTCACGTCGATCTTCAAAAGCATCAATCTCCAAGTCTTCTTGTTCTTCACCAGTATCTAGAATGAAACAGATTCTGACACAATATATAAAATAAAATCTAATATTTTTTCCAAGCGACTAGATCATTAGATTCCACCCAGCTATGGGCCCGAGCCACCCTCTTTCATCACCATACTGCATGTTTAATAAGCTATGTGTAATAAGCTGAAGTGGCAATGGGCCGAACAACTGACGACCGATGGAGAAGGTGGAAATGGAAAGGTTCTCCTAACGTGATGTAATTATGGCAGCCTCGTGCCGGTAGACGAAGTGTAGGGCGGTCCGCCACTAGATGGAGTGACGACCTGGTAAGACATGCAGGAAGTCGATGGAAGCAGGTGGCTCAGGACCATGCTTTGTGGTGTTCCTTGGGGGAGGCCTATGCTCAGCAGAGGACTTGTGAAGCGCTGTAATGATGATTATGATTTGTTCACCTTATTTAGTGAGTGTTCGCCACAACTTGTATTTAGTAAGTGAGTGCCTGCTAGTACAAGGATACCTTGAGCACCTTTTCTCCATTTATTTTTTGTATGAAGTGACACACAAACTAACACTCTACCTTATGGTATGTAGCCGATCTACAAGATGGTAAGTGGGTACTGCAGTCCACGCACTGCCTGCTGCTAACAACAAACACAAAAAGCTACAATGCGCTGTCACCTTTGACGACTAAGATGCAATGCCCCACAGCCTGTGATTATACTGACTCTATACTCTACAGACTGGCACACAATTTGATGACAGAAATAGGTAACAGGAGGATGGAGGAAACCATGTGGGTTAAGAAATTGGCAAAGACAGGTGGTAGCTTACCAGTTGTATGTATATCATTAACTCCTATGAAGTTAATACATCTTAGTGTTCCTACATACTGGCTGCATTCATACAGGGTCAAAACATTTATAAATATATTTATACATAAGTAAAAGAAAATGTCTAACAAAGCTCATTATGATGTCCATGTAAGCTTATCTTTTAAACAATTATTTAATTCGTTATTTTCTTACTCCATGAGTGCTTTTTACTTTCACTTTGAATTTAAGCAAAGTCAAATCAGTACATTGCACACCAAACCCTCTTTATTTTGTGTCCATGGGCTACAGTAACCACTTGCCATTATGTAAATTGTACCTTAATTTAATAATATCACAAAATGTGTATATCTTACCTGTTTCATGATTCCAGTTTACTTCAAATTTGAAATTCTCATTTTCGATTTTCTCTTCCTCAACTTTAACAGATTCAAGGCTAAAAATGTCATCCTTGCAATGATTTTCTATATCACACTCAACTGGCCAGATATCTATATGATTAATTGGTGTGAATTGAATCTTATCTCTAGCCTCATGTGGTTTTGGTATTGACTGAAACCAAACTCTTTCTTAAATAAGAGAAAAAGCCAGTGTAGTAGTGGCGTAGGAGAATCTATACTACCCAAATAATAAAACTGGACAAAAGTGAAAGTCTCCAAATAATTTAAATAAGAATGTAAAGTTTAGAAATGTAATTAGAATCGAGACTCAAGTCAAGAGTTTTTCTATAGCTTTTAAATAGCTATAGCCTTATAGTGAAATTGGTCTGTAGTTGTTGATATCCACTCCACTCTTGTGAACAGGTGTTACTAGGGACTCCTTGAACAAAAACAGAAATATACCGTTCTACTGTATTAAAATGCAAATGTAATAAAGTGCTGTGTAGTAGCGGTTGAGAATATCCACTACCCCATATCTTCCCGTGGGTGTCGTAAAAGGCGACAGAGGGAGACAGGCAGGAGATGGGCAGCAGCATCTTCCTAATAACAACAATAATATAATAAAAAACTGCGGTTGCCAACCCGCTCGCCAAGCGTGGCAACTATGGCAAATATCCCCCCATGAGCAATGACGCAAATAAACGGCCCGGCGGCCCCGCTATTCCTGGCTACGGTGGCGACCATGGTAACGGCGGGGCAGGGGGTGCTAAGAATCTCCGGTGGAGGTTCGGTTGCCACCTACGACGACTCGACCTGGCAACGTATAACGCACGCACCCTGAGGACTGACGAGAAGATACTGGAGCTGGAAGAAGAGGTAAACAAGTTGCGCTGGCATATTATTGGATTATCTGAGGTCCGAAGAGAGGGGGAGGACACGGTAATCCTCGAGTCCGGCAACTTGTTCTATCACCGGGAGGGCGACCATCTGTCCCAAGGGGGTGTCGGATTTATCGTCCACAAGTCTCTCGTCAACAACGTTGTAAAGATTGGGAGTGTGTCGACGAGGGTCGCGTACCTGATACTGAGAATCACCAAACGGTATTCGCTGAAGGTCATACAGGTCCAACCTCAGCACATCCCGATGAGCAGGTGGAAGAAATGTATGAGGATATTTCTAGAGCCATGCATTCCTCCAAAATCCACTACACGGTGTTGATGGGAGACTTCAACGCAAAACTAGGCACAAGAGAAGGCGGTGAGCTGAAGTTAGGGAAATTTGGAGTAGGGCAACGGAACCGTAGGGGCCAGCAGCTGGCTGACTTTATGGAGAAAGAGGGACTCTTTATGATGAACTCTTTCTTCCAGAAGCGGCCCCACAGGAAGTGGACCTGGTCGAGCCCCGACGGTTCGACAAAAAATGAGATTGACTTCATTTTGACGACCAGACGCCAACTGTTCAGTGATGTCTCAGTGATCGCAACGGTGAAAACCGGCAGCGATCACCTAATGGTTAGAGGCACACTGAACCTAAACGTTAAGTTGGAGAGGTCTCGTCTAATGAAATCAACGCTCCGTCCCTCTCGTGCTCTAATCCAGAATCCCGAGACTTTTCAGCTCGAGTTACGTAACCGCTTTCAGTGCCTAGAAGATTGCAATACAGTGGACGATATGAATCACAAGCTCGTGGAAACTGTCCATGCGGTCGGAGCTAAGTTCTGCAAGACCCGCCGCAGAACACCAAAACTCTCCGATCACACCTTTAATCTCATGGCTGTTAGATGGGAGATAAGGCTGCAATCGTCAACAGATTTGACAGCATACAGGCAACTGAACAGACAGATCGCTCGTATTAAAGAAGCGATCGAGCGGAACCAGGGCTCCAAAGTCTTTGCCAGAGATCTGTCTGCCAGAAAAAGTCAATTGTCAAAGCTGAAGACTGAGTGTGGCAGCATCGTTTCCGAGACACCTGAGATTTTGAGTGAGATTGAGAGGTTCTATGGGCAGCTGTACACATCATCGTTGGAGCCACACGCAAGTGTGAGTAACGATCCAAGAGCAAGTCTTACCCGACACTATTCCGATGATATCCCGGACGTCAGTCTAAGCGAGATTAGAATGGCTCTCCAGCACCTTAAAAACGGCAGGGCCCCAGGCGAGGATGGAATTATAGCGGAGCTTCTGAAAGCGGGTGGAACACCGGTACTTGAAGTCCTTCAGAAGCTCTTCAATTCCGTCCTCCATGGTGACACTACTCCGGAGGCGTGGGGCAGAAGTGCGGTGGTCATGTTCTTTAAGAAAGGCGACCAACGCTCTCTTGAAGAACTACAGACTGATTTCCCTTCTGAGCCGCGTCTACGTGCTGTTTTTGAGAGTCATTACGAATCGTCTCGCACGCAGACTCGACGACTTCCAGCCTCCCGAACAAGCCGGTTTCCGAAAAGGCTTTAGTACCATAGACCACATACATACCCTGCGGCAGATTGTACAGAAGACCGAAGAGTACAATCTGCCACTTTGCCTGGCGTATGTGGATTATGAGAAAGCCTATGATTCCGTCGAAATTTGGGCGGTGCTACAGACCCTTCAGCGGTGACAAGTTGACTGTCGGTATATCGAAGTGCCGAAGTATTTGTACAGTATGGCTACGATGGCTATCCGAGTACAGAACCAGAGTTCAAAACCTATCCAACTGCAGAGAGATGTAAGACAGGGTGATGTTATATCCTCGAAACTCTTCACCGCTGCGTTGGAAGACGTTTTCAACGTTTTTAGATTTGCCGACGATATAGTCCTTATGGCAGAATCGCTGGAGGACCTTAGCACTATGCTCAATGACCTCAATGATGTCTCCCAACGGATAGGTCTTAAGATGAACAGGGACAAAACAAAGATCATGTTTAATGTCCATGTCACACCTATGCCGGTAGTTGTTGGGAGCACTATGCTCGAAGTTGTTGACGAGTACGTTTACCTGGGACAAGTAGTCCGACTAGGTAAGTCCAACTTCGACCGAGAGGTCAATCGACGGATTCAACTCGGCTGGGCAGCGTTCGGGAAATTACGACACATCTTCTCGTATACCTCAATCTCTGAAAACTAAAGTGTACAACCAGTGTGTGTTGCCAGTGATGACTTACGGATTAGACACGTGGTCCTTCACTGCTGACAGTATGAGGACGCTCAAGATCGCTCAGCGAGCTATGGAGAGGGCTATGCTCGGAGTTTCTCTGCGTGATAGACTCAGAAATGAGGATATCCACAGTAAAACCAAAGTGACCGACATAGCCCAATGGATTAGTAAGCTGAAGTGGCAATGGGCCGGCCATATATCTCGAAGAACCGATAACCGATGGAGAAGAAAGGTTCTCGAGTGGCAGCCTCTTACCGGTAGGCGTAGTGTAGGGCGACCCCCCACTAGATGGAGTGACGACCTGGTAAGATATACAGGAAGTCGATGGATGCAGGTGGCTCAGGACCGTGCTTTGTGGCATTGCTTGGGGGAGGCCTATGTTCAGAAGTGGACTTGTGAAGGGCTGTAATGATGATGATGATGATAATGACTGCATTAAAATAATGTGTAGTAGAGTATGACACACATATTTGTGTTGATAACCACTCAAACGCCCGGGCGACCATAGTCACCTAAAACTTTTTCCTGTTGAACGTTAGGGCGATTAGAGCGGCCTCGCTGACTTCTACAATTTAAACTAATTTTTATCAATGGAAAGTTACAAAAAGCTTCATGAATGTTTCACTAGATGGATCCATATTAAAAATGCATCTATCAGTTAGCAAAAGGTGGCATAGACCTAAGAAATACCATTAAAATAAAATAAACAAGTGTTGTGTCAAGTTTTGTGTAGTGGCCAGTAGTACTGTGAATTTTGTATTTAAAATGTAAATAATCCTCAAAATGCTTTCTATTCGTATATCCGCAAGTTTTATGAATCCAGTCCGTAATGATGTTTTTATATGTGATGAAGTCGACACGCGAAAACTTCGCCTTTGTGTGTTGGTGTTTCGTTAAGTTTTAGTATTAAGTATATATTTTTTATTTTAATAAAATATTTCTTATAAGTAAAACAATAATAAATACAAATTTAAAATAAATTCTTATAATAGTTTGTCACATTTTATAGCCGCCCGGAAGATCGATGTCGATATTTTAGATATTTTTGCATAGAAATACTTAATATTTATATAAGTTTATTGGTATTATTGGATAGGGTAAATCACGTTATAGTAATTATTGTACAATAGAAATAAAATGATTTTGCTATATTATCAAAGAAAATAAAAAAAGAATATTAGGATTTTTCAACAGAATTTCTAAAATTAATCAATAAATTTTTTAGTTGTTGCACTTCAGTTGGGTAAATTATTATTACCGTAATTGAATTCTGCATTTCATTAGCTTTCATTGTATGAGTTTTAATCTGATATAGGTAACGAACTTTCTCTGTGGTAATCATTTTAGTCAAACTGGTCGCAATCGGACCTTAAAAAAGCCGCAAAGAGTGGTGCGGGGCGTTCAAGGCTATTGTCGCCATATCGCTCGGATGTTCAAGTGAATAAGCCAACATTATAGTGATCACTTAAATGTCTGCCAAGTAATGATTAAGACAAATTTTTCATTATAATGGGAAAGAAGCATCAAGCAGTAAACTATTTATTAATAAGAAAAGTATTATTCCGGTGATATTGTAGTGATGGTTTAAGGATATCCACTGCCTTATATACCTACCCACGGGACGGGTGTCGTAAGAAGCGACAGAGAGAAACAGGAACAGGAGTTGGGCAGCAGCATCTTGCTGATAACAACTCAGACTAGTATAAACTGCGGTGGCCAACCTGCAAAGCGTGACAAATTTGGCAAAGTCTCTCCTATGAAGCAATCTATGACAGACTTTTATAAGTTTTATTGGATGGAATGGATAATACCTTGGACCCTCCTGCAAGCAACTGCTCCAGAACTGCATTTGACTCAATAGCCTGTTGTTGCAATGTTCTGCATCGAATGAGTCTAGCTTGACAGATGAAACAGACAATTATGGGCTCCTCATCTTCATCCATCTGAAAATATGAAAGTTTGTCATAAATACGGAACACTACTTAAATATACAATTTTGTAATAAAATATATTTGCCACCACAACTCATTTCTTCAACATAATATTTTATAACATTGAAGTGTTTTACAAATGATACGTAAGTGATGTCATGATATCACTGGCTAACTTTCTGCAAGCGGTTAATATATGGACACAATTCTCTAATTAATTTAAAATGTTGTGAGTTTCAAGGAAGTAGGAAGTCTGCATGACATTAACAGATAAAATTTTAAAAGCAGTAGATCCAAACTCTTAGTACCCTAACAGAGGTATTTTCAAGTTTGGGCTTTCAAAATTCAATCCTAATAAACATACATTCATATTATAACTTTAAACTACCAGCATCACTATTAATATTACAAAAACTTTACTGAAAATGCTTGCACTAGGAGTAACTTAAACAATAGTCAAATGGCAGATTTGAACTCTACTTTATTGAGTTTGCAATCATTCTAACTATTGGGCCACTATCACTTAGTTTTAAATGAAGTTAATAACAATACACTTCCCTGAGCAGTTTTAACCGTTTTGATTTGATATCAACTGCAGTATACAGTAAGTTTGGACATCCAACAATTAGATTATTTTACTTCATATGGATATGGGCAGCAGCATTTTGCACATAACAGGTCAGAATAATTAAAAAAAACTTCAGTTGCCAACCCGCCTAGCCTAGGTTGACAACTGTGGCAAATTATAATAATACCAAAAATGATTCTTAAAATATATAACAAATATTCAACCTAATATCGTCGGCCTAATTCGTTAACCTTCTAAGTCCATATTTTCATAGTTTACAGGACGAAGAACAAACTAAATAATATCTTTATTAATTTAGCAATCAAAATTCTGAAAATCCCGTTGGTGTCTCTAATTTTTTTTGATATTTTAAAAATATAATTAGTAGTATAACTTATACACATTTTATAAAATTCAAGACAAAAAATATTTAGCAGTTTTTCGATGTAAAGTTTCAATTTACTTGAGGACTGTTTTTGTCTTTAATTTAGTATGGTGTATAGATTAATGAATTGCATAGTGAAACACATTCAATCAGTAATCGATTATAATTTATTATTAAAAATTAAACAATCAGTCTTCTTTAATAGGGTTATAATATCTAATACTTTTCATAAAAAATCTGTAACAGTTTTAATATGCGTGATTATGTGGTGCTTTTGTGGTATTACGAGTTGTCCTAAGTATCTTATTATTATTAATGACAAGCATTTAAACTTGTTTTACTACTACAGGTATCACAATCAATTATTATTAATACTAAGATAAAACAGAAACAATTTTCCAAAAATTTTAAATTAACAATAAGTAAAGTAAAGTAAAGTTGTAATTTTACTTAAAATCTAATTATTAGTACTTCTTATTTTATTCATGAGGCAAGTCATCATAATATTTATGATAGTCAGAATGGAAGGGTCTTTTTTATTTGCTGCAAGTCTTCAAATTTTCGTGCAGTGATTTTACGTCGATTCTGATACAATTAGATAGTTGAGTAATCTCGCAAGGATTACATTTCAAAGATCGTCTTTGTGGTAAACTTTGCCATTCATCCTTATAGTAAGTTTTATAAAGAATTGATCCATTGCTTTCGTAACGTAGTGCACGAATGTCAGTGACCTTAGGATCTCCTTTGGATCTTCCTGGGCGAATACTTTTATAAAACTGAATTTTGTCGAAGTTTTTGAAGTAAGTGTTGTCCAAATATGTTACATAATAGGGTACTGGGCATTTACGAGCATGCTTAGCAATAGATATATATTCAGCTGGCACATTTATGACCTTGTTCTTAAGCTGACGTTCTATAGTGGAATGCATTGAATCGGCCTCCATTTGGGTGTGACCCACCTCCAAAAATTTTTGTTCGATAGCTAAATTTTTGTGCCTCATGACAATGTTCAAAAGAGCGTTAGATAAAATACAATTTCTATTTTGGTATGTGCAACCGTCACTATAAATTGTAATTGTTATTTTCCCATCTTCAGCATTAACTTCAGGACGTATTATTTTGTTTTCTATAAAGTCAACCCAAATGGAGGCAAATTATTCATCATGGAATGAACTAGAAAGTGGACTTAATAGTCCACTTTCTAGTTCATTTCATATGAAACAGAAGCCATCTTTATTTTTTATATTAAAAAAGCAAAAGTTGCGAACTTGCAGCTTTGTTTTATAGTATAGCGTACTGACATTCGATTTGGTGCCATTAGTACAGCCTGTAAGTCCACTGTGAAAACGTAATTTTCTCCCTTTTTTATCTGCATATTTTTCTTCTCTTCCTTGTTTACTTCTCTCAATATGTTCTTTGTATTCTTCTTCTGTAACTGTTCCTACTTTATAACAGGCGTATTTTTCGCATTGATCTTTTTTCGGCTTAAATAGGGCCAAATTTTTGTCTTCAAATAAATTCGAAAACAAACTTATGGAGAGAGCTTTAATATTTCGCTCTTTACACCAATCGTTAACGTAAAATTTTAGAGGCTTTCTTTGGAATTCCATTCGGGCAATAAATATAACTTCTGTGACGTTGATCGACAATAATGAGATTCCATTACGGGAACAGACTCCAGAAACTGAATAAGTGATTGTTTTGGCTTCGAAGTCAATTCAGATAATTGTGTTGGACGTGTCAATGTACTAGGAGGGCGCATTGAAAACTCCTGCTTCCAATTTTGAACCGTCCATCTTCCTAAGTCCAATGTGTTCAAAAACATCTTTCGACACACTTTGACACTTTTATCATTTACTTTTAAATGATAAACAAAGGTGTTAGCCCTCTTGGTTGTCCCTTCGGTATTTCGATTTCGTGGCCGGACAATTGGAATAGTTGTAACCCATTCGTTCACTAGGGTTTTTTTTCGCCCCATGTAAGATTCCAAAATCGATTAAAAATGCTCCTTCTTACATCTTCATCTACTGTCTCACATTTTAAAGTACTGTACTTCCCAGTTTTACAGGAGCATCTTGATTTAATGGAACGTGCTTCTTTAGTTTTATTATAATTCCAACAGTCTTGCTTTTTCTCTCTCCCAAAATATAATAATAATAATAATATTCCACAACTATCACACAACGCCATCTAGTCCCAAGCTAAGCAGAACTTGACACTTTCACAATTCTACCTTTAGATAAAGTAACTGCATTTTTAGACCATCTTAACTCTATAAATACTAAAATTCAGTTCACAATGGAGTTAGAGGCAAACAATTCCTTAGCTTTTCTAGATGTGTTAGTAATTCGGAATCCTGATAACACCTTGAGCCATACTGTGTATAGAAAAAAAGACCCATACAGATAGATATTTAAACGGTGATTCTCACCACCATCCTTCACAGTTAGCTACCGTGGGTAAATCTTTGTTTCAGAGAGCACGAGGGATCTGTGACAGTAAACACCTGGCTGCCGAGCTCCAACATGTCAAGCAAGTTTTGCATGACAACAAGCTTCGGGTCCCGCGCCTACGTCACAGAGAACGAGTGAAGCCGGCCACAGTCGAGCGTGTACCTGCTGTACTGCCATATGTTAGAGGAGTCACTGACAAGATTGGCTACATCTTGAAGCGCGCTTCCATCAAAACATACTTCAAGCTGCCGAAGAAGATTGGTCAGTTTTTACCATCAGTCAAGTGTAACGTCCCTCTGCAAGATGCAGGAGTGTACAAGCTTGATTGTGAATGTGGTCTCTCCTACATAGGACAAACTAAAAGATCAATTAAAACCCGCGTCAAAGAACATATAGCTGATGTGAAGAATCGACGCTCCGGGAAGTCTGCAGTCTGTGAACATGTACAGGATCGCCCCCGTCACTACATCAGATTTGATAGACCACAAATCCTCGCTAAAGAACACCGATTCCTTCCAAGGATGATTCGCGAGGCTATTGAAATCAAAAAACATCCTAATTTCAATAGGGAAGATGGCTGGTTGCTACCATCTGCTTGGGATCCTATAATAAATAAAATTAAATCCCAACCCAAGCATACAACTGCAAGACTCCGATGATACCATAAGTTCATACTGTGTAGATCGGAACAAAAGTTAAATTTTAATCTATGGTAACCGCGGTTAACTATGACAGCTGGACGTTGAACATCTCAGTCCTTCCCGTGACCATGGGTGCTGTAAAGCTCTCGAAACGTCGGGTAAAAAAGTTAAATATACGCGATAAATTCCGTAAAAATTAGTATTATTTCAATGTGTAGTGTTCGCGTAAATATAAGAAATCACTAAGCAGAGCTTGTGTTATGGGTACTAGACAACTGATAAAGATACTTATATATTTCTAAATACATAAATATTATAGATAAATTACACCCAGACCCAGAACAAACGATCGTGCTCATCACACAAACATTTGTCCTGGGTGGGAATTGAACCCACGACCTCCGGCTTAGCAGTCAGGGTCACTAACCACTAGACCAACAGGCCTGTCGGCCTGATGTTTTACCTTCTTGTCTTCTTTGTTTATTCTTTTCGCTAACCCATTCTTTTTTATCAACTTTAAAATGTTTCTTTCGTTTCTTAATCTTTTTGATCTTAGCAAGCGAATCTGAGTCAGAATCAGAATAAGGCACAAGCTTTTTTTCTGTATCGCTACCATCCGATATTGGTGGATTAGGTATAACATGATGTGTATTTTCAACATGAGTTATAATTTCTAGAGAACTAGTACTTGTTTCATGAGATATTATATTACCTAATGTTTGAATGGTATCCGCATCGGAATTGTGTATGTTGTCTGAGATCAAAATATTTGTTGATTGTGATTCTATTTCAATTTGTGATGGTATTATAATCAAATTCTCGTCTGTCGTGAAAGTGCTGTGAATATCATAAACCGTGGACAACAATTTATTGTCTAAAGGCACGTCATTGAATGTAGTATTGGGAAATGTAATGTCAGAACAAATTGTATGATTTATATATTCTGTAATAAAAGTATTTGGTAGATCTAGATCAGTCAGAGATGTTATATTGATATTGTCATTTATCTCATAATAAGTTTTGTCAGCAACTGAATTTGAAGGTTCTGGTATAGACTTTCTTGATTTTGAATATTGTAACTGAATATCTTCCAAAATGTGTACTACTTTATTTGGATCATAATTTAATTTTGGAGCTACTTTTTAAGGTCTATCCTGTGAGTTAAAGCCTCAGAAACCAAAGCCACAATTTTTTTTCCCCGATTCATTCTGAAAATATCAAAAAAACCATTATTTAATCAAATAAATTGAATAAGAAGAAGAATAACATTATGACAAAATATGTGAAATTTATTATTTATACAGACCTTAAACAGACTTTAACTTAACAGTTTATTTGTGTATACATACTTTGTTTTATAATTTATTTAATGAGTAAAATCTTCGAAATTATCTTTAATTAAGCAATAAGTTAATAAAAAAAATATTAAATTGATAAACTGCTAAATCCGTGTACAAATAAAATAATATAGTTTGTAAGCCTGCTAAGTCCCTTATGTTTAGGTTGGGACTTAAATGTGATGAACAACATTTGATTATGATTTGGACACTACAAAAATAAAAACTTAGAGAGAAAACAATATAAACTTACCTAGTTTATAACTAATTGTTTAAATCCTCAAATATATGACTAAAACACGACAAAACTTGACGCGTTGCAAGCGGCACGTGGGTTTGGGAACGTTTTTATTGTAAAACTGAGGCCCCAGTAGGATTTAGCAGGTTTGCATTGTGGAGATTGGCTGTTGGTCAGAAAGCAGTTTTTCGGGCATAGGATTTGTCACCTTTTTAGGCTAATATCACTGCTATTCTCTAAACGTTACGCAAGATATTAGACTGAACTTTTTGACTGGTATAAAAAGCAAATTTTGCCAAAAATGGACTTAGCAAGTTAACGAATTACGCCGACGATATGGAATATGCCTCACAAATTATACTAAGTTACAGGAGAGGTTCAACACAGATATTCAAAAGTTCCTGGAGCATTGAAAACATACCATATGAGGAAAGTGAAAACACTTGAACTTACAACTCTGAAAGATCACAGAAAATGAGGAGGCTGGATGGAAACATAATACATGGACACTATGATCTAGAAATTTTTGACAAACTATTATTACAGTACCCAAACAACACACATCTTAGAGGCATCACTTCAAATTGACTAAAGCCGTGTATTGGTCTCTTTAATTAGCGCTGCACCTTAGCCTAGCCCCGATCGATAGGCATCAGGCAAGTTATAATGTATTTCTCCAGCGATAACAACAAATTACCGCAACTTTAATTTGCAATATTAAGAAGTATTATTAAACTTACAAAACTGTTCGTCAATGCTTTATATAAATTTTGGAGGCCAGTCTTCTTTAGTACAGACATGCGTACATTAATGCTTAAACAAATTCTACAAATTTCACTGAAGGCTATTCCTGTTTCCTCCATTAAATTCTCTTTTTCACTAATAATCCCAAGGTTTCAAAAATATTAAAATGCAGTAGTAGAACACAAACAAGTAACAAGTAAACCACAGACTACTAAGAGAGATCAGATAGACTACAAGAGAAACATCTTCATTATTATAGCCTCTTCAAAAGTCCACTGCACATAGGCCTCACCTGAAATGTCGTTATACACAGAACTCACCCATGTGCACACATCATATTCACGCATGTCTTATCAGGTCACCACCTTAGTGGGAGGCCGTCTTACGATTTGCTTACAGATGTGCGCCTACCAATGGAAAAATATTCACTGATTTATAAAGTCCTAAATCCAGCAGAGGATGTAAATGTAGAAAGCTGATATTTATTTTACTTTTTTATACATTTTATTGCATACAATATATTACATAAACACTGACAACAAACTATATACTAAATGTACAATTAGCGGGCCTTAATACTAAACAGAGATCTGTTCCAGGAAAAACTATAGAGAAGGAGATTATTTTTATATAAGGGTGCATGGATACTTATAAGCTGTAGGATAGCTGCTTATGTAGGATTGACTGCTTTGTTGGTCTATTGGTTGTAGTAGTGCGACTGCTGATCATGAGGTCCTGGGATCGATCTCAGGTCGGGCCAAAAATCAATTATTGAGTTTTCTGTCAAGAAATCTTCAAGAAGTTGGCGGTGTCTTACCACCATGCCTCGGAAAACTCGTAAAGGCGTTGATCCTGCGCCTGGTCTCTCTCCGGTCGTGTCACTTTACTGTTACATCGAATTGAGAGTGAGGAAATAGAGAGTGCACCTGTACTTGCGCATAGATTTAGGCAATATATTCCTGTCCTGCGCCGATGGCTAGTTGAGGCAGGCCACCATGACCGAAATTTGATCTGGAGGACATTATTATAAAGAACTAGCTTGCCAGGCAAACCTTGTTCTGCCCTTTTCGACGACCCTATGTCATGTCCTATTAAAAATTCTTAAATTCGCAAAAAAAAAATTGTGGGGCACTCATAAGAAAAAAAAACTATCCTATCTCTCAAGTTGGGCCAAACTGCACACGATGTGCAAATTTGATTAAAATCGGTTAAGTAGTTTAGGAGTCTATCGCGGACGAACAATGTGACACGTAATTTATATATATTAAGATATATTATAAAGAATATAACATTTCATGAATTAACCAACTTTGTCAGCCTCAAGCACAGGCGCAGAGTAGCCAGCCTCTCAGTATTCTATAGGATGCATTTCGCAGTGTGCGTAGGAATTGCACGCTTTAATTCCTCCTTCTCCTTGTCACCATCGGACGACCAGGCGGTCGGCGGGTCTTTGCCTTTGTTGTTGATATTCCACGCATTAGAACCAAACGGTTTACTTCGAATTTTTTAATGCGTACAGCAAAGGAGTGGAATAATTTGGCAGCGTCTATCTTTCCATCCGAATACAATCTGGGCGTCTTCAAGGCAAGAGTGAATAGGGTTTTGTTACGCTAAGACAGTGCGATTTACTATCTAAGGCTGCATCACCACTTACCACCAGGTGGGATTGTGGTCAAGCACTGGCTTATAAAAAGTAAAAAAATATATAAGAATAAAAGAGAAACAAATAACATTAATTTAAGGTTTCTATGGCTAACATTATATTTATTTTTATGTTACAGCTCGCTAAGCTGATAGAAAACCTGTAAACTCGACGTCAAAAATACTTCAGAAGCTTTGTCATTTTTCGAGGACTTATTTGATTCATGTAAGGAAACAGCTCTTAGACGGAGAAACAAAGTGAAGCCCTTAAAACAAGCTGTAACGAATTCATCAGAGCACGAAACCCTTTTGACTAATTCCATAAAAAAATTAGAGGTAATGAGATTTGTTAATAAAGAGGACAAGGAGTGTATTGTGTCCTCTAAAAAAGTCAGTCGTCAGTCCACCAATGGATTTCTCACAGAGGGTATAGATACTTAAAATAAAAACAAAAATCAACCTATCCCTCAGAATATGCAGTGAGGTATATTTCAACCGTTGTAAAAGAAACAAACTAATATTTGGAAGTGAAACCAAATTCTTATGAAATTTTAAAAAAAAGCATATGGAAATTAAATCCAAATATTGGAACGGAAATGGTACTGGTGTAACGTTATTAAAATCTTAAAAGAATTTGATATTGTGAGATTAAAATAACGTAACCAATTGCCGCAAATGCTACATAAAGTTTATAAATAATTTAAAAAGAAATAAATAAAAACTTGAATAACTAATATATAAGTTGTTTTATTTTTGTATAAGTTCTAAAGATTTTAAAATTGTCAACTTTTAAAGGTGAATAGCTGTAGGTATGGGAATGAAATTAGGCTTTATCAATGATGTACTTTTGCCTTATAACTACAAAATTTAAAAGTAACGTAAGTAGGCTTTATCAATGATGTACTTTTGCCTGATACCTCAAAATTAGAAGTAAACAAAAGTCAAACTCTAAACTACTGGTTCCGTATTGGTTGTTCTAAGTAGCTTGCTACATATTTATTTATTTATGGTTCTAAGATTCTTGTCTGATGCGTAGTATCATAGATTACTGTATATATACTAGAGACGTAGTATCTTCTTAGTAGTCTGTGACAATGAACCTGTTAAAGAAAGTAATACATAAGAAACTTCTACCAATTGCATATCACATTAAAACCTTAAAAGCCAAAAATGTATTAAGTGTTTAACTAATAAAATACAGTAAGTAAATTGTCCAAGAAAATAACATCAACATTTGCGCTGTAATTAAAAGTTCAAATAAGAAATTGAAAGAAAAAGCTACATGACACATGAAAATCATAGCCTTGTGGCTTTATAAAAGTCACCCACCTGTTGCAGGCTACTCAGGCTCTATTAAAGGGTTAACTGAGTACTCTTTACTATTGAAATCAATCAACTAGTTTTTAAGGCCTGGCAGATTTTTTAAATACTATAAAAACATCAGACAATCAATTTATATTGATATTTGATGAAATGTCTTTAAAAAAATGTGATGTATAATCCAAAAGAAGATTTGATTGAAGTGTATTAGGATCATAGTACACAAGGAACATCTTCAGTCATTGCATCATATGCATTAGTATTTATGATTGTTAGTATTAGGAAGACTGAAACAGCCCATTGCCCACTATTTCTCCAGTGCATTTTTAACTGCAAATCAACTTGTATTTAAAATGAAAAGTGTAAAATGATTTTTGGGTTCCGTAGTCAACTAGGAACCCTTATGGTTTCGCCATGTCTGTCTGTCCGTCTGTCCGTCCTCGCTTAATCTCTGTGACCGTTAGCACTAGAAAGCTGAAATTTGGTACCAATATGTGTATCAATCACGCCGACAAAGTGGTAAAATAAAAATTGGAAAAAAATGTTTTATTAGGGTAGCCCCCCTATATGTAAAGTGGGAAGTGATTTTTTTTTAATTTCAACCCTAACGTGTGATATATTGTTGGAAAGGTATTTAAATGAATAGGGGTTTACTAAAATCATTTTTTGATAATGTCAATAATTTCGGGAATAATCGCTCCAAAAGTAAAAAACAATGTGTCCCCCCCCTCTAACTTTGAACCATAAGTTTAGAAAATATGAAAAAAATCTAAAAAGTAGAACTTTATAAGGACTTTCTAGGAAAATCATTTTGAACTTGGATGGAAACAACAGTACCCACTACCGGGAGCAGTTGCAGGAGCGCGAACGTAATGGATACCCACCTTTAAACTCATAAGTGGGAACACTTATTGTGACGGACGGGAAACTACGGAACCCTACACTGAGCGTGGCCCGACACGCTCTTGGCTGGTTTTTTCATTTCATTACAACAGTTGAAATTAAAGTTGATTATAAAAGCTCAACAGTTGTAAAACATATTTAATTTTTGATTTCAGGTCTTGAATCAGTTTTAGCTGGCATAACTTCCAGGCTCAGGCTGGGATGAATATATCTGCAAGAGTCTGTGACATGGACGGCGTAAATTTACAAGTTCTCTCTATCTTGGGTGCAAATGTGCAATAACTATATTTTGCATTCCATAACAAAGAGATAGTGACCCTTTGATACGCCATATTTATTACATAAGGGATCTTGCAATGGGGTTAATGCATTTCACATTGAAATAACTTTGTTTTGCAGAAGAGAGCCATGAGAGCACTTTACAATAGGTCCAAAGGAGTCTTTTCAAGAAAGTTTTTTAGAAGTAAATATATTAACTATAGCGTTTTAGTAATTTTACAAAAATTTAATGTATGTTTTTTATTAATTTTTGTTTTTTGTTTTTGTTAATTTAATGTAGGTACACAAAAACAACAATAGTTTTTATTAAAAATAGTAATGTATATATCTGTAAATACTAGGAACAAGTACAAGCTATTTATATCAGTTATTCCACTTCAAAGAATAAGTTTTCCTTTGTGGGGCAAAGTATATACTTTTATAACAAGTATATGCTTTCATAAATTACACAGCCTATCAAAAACTGAAATTTTTTTCAGTAAGGCAGTATATATATATATATATATATATATTCGGAATCTCGGAAACGGCTCCAACGATTTTCATAAAATTTAGTGTCTGGGGAGTTTCGGGGGCAATAAATCGATCTAGCTAGGATTTATTTTTAGAAAATGTCTTTTTTGTCCGTGTTTTCAGGTAATGAAAAACTGCTACAATATAAGAAGGTAAATTTTGACGCTTTATTAATGATCGTTCTAGCTCAAGTGAATATTGAGCGGTCGTGAAATCGTAATGCCTTGGTTCGCGTTCCGGCATGGGTCCGACTTTTTTTTCAAGTTACCTTCTTTTGTGAGAAAATCTATTATTTCGAGCCCCTTTTTTCAGTATTTTTTAAAAATACGAAAATTTTAATTAAACTAATGGCACT